ACCACATCAACAAGGCCGACAACAAGTACTACCTGCCCGACGCCGTGTCCGAGACCTTCATCATCGACAAGGGGCCCGCACTCGCCGCCGCCAAGCCCCTCCGCCGCGGCAAGCAAATCATGTCGTGGTCGCCCGTCCTGCTGGTGCACAAGGACTTTTTCGACGACATCGTCAAGAAGGCCGACCGCAAGCGGCTGCTCGAGACCGCGGTCTCGTTCCTCCCGCCCGCCACGCTGGAAACCTTCAACAAGCAGCGCGGCGACGACGGCAAGCGCTCCGTCGAGGCCATCCTCCGCGCTGCCCCGTTCGAGGTCGACCTCGGCTACGTCGCCAAACCCGGCGACCACGCCAAGCACTACGCCAACTACCCGGAGGTGTCCATCCTGCGCCACGACTGCCGACCTAACATGGCGTTCCACATCGACGATAGCCTCGCGTTCGTCGCCACCGTCGCGCGCCGCGCAGCAGAGGGCGAGGAACTCACCATCGCGTACGTCGACCCGTTCGCACCGCGCGCAGAGCGCCAGTCCTGGGTCCAGCGCCACAGTCCCCTCGGCAAACCCTGCGCATGCGAAGCATGCACAGCACGAGGCAACACCGCCGCGCTCAAAGCCTCAGACGACCGCGTGACAGAGCTCCTAGCAATCCAAGCCGAGCTGAAAAACCACGAGTCCCGCCGGGTGACGGAGGCGCTGATCGACCGGTACCTGGAGCTGTTTGACCAGGAGCGGCTGCAGGCCAAGCTGTTCAATGCCTACGAGCTCGCGGCGACGAATTATAATTACATTGGGCTGGATGTCAAGGCGAAAAAGTATGCGGACCTCGCGGTGCAGGCGGGGATTGTCGAGGAGGGGGTTAATGCGAATGATGTCATTGCGATGCGAATCATGGCGAGTGATATTAGGGGGCATTATACGTATCAGTATACGCTCAAGAGGTTGGGGAAGGTGCCGAAGTAAGGTTTGGCTAGGTAGGTTGTACCGGGCTTGGAGGGAGGTAAGTACCTAGGTAATGCGTGGGTTTGGTTCAAGTACCTGGTATGGTGAGTTGGGACATGGACTTGGAGAGGAATCTGTATGTGAAATAGCAATCAATGGGTGCATAATTAGGTCTTGTCTCTCTGCCCAAATGAATGCATGCAATCAGAGTGACAATATGGTCAACTACACGGGTTGTTGTGAAGCACGCAGGTTGATAATATCATGATTGATGCTGATGCTGATGCGGTAGCTGAGAGGCAAGGTACTGGTGGTCATGGTGTGGGAACTGTCTGGCGATGTCATGGAGAATAGTAGGTGTCTATATGTGTTTATTTGGCCGCAGATTGCATGGACATCTCTCAAACCTTGCCGACTGTGGGAAGAGCGGCATAGAAACGTTGTAGTTATGGGTTTTTCTTTTCTCAAGTCTAAGCACATAACCGGCAGCCATGTCACTGAATTGCGCCCTAGCTCGTCTCCGGTTATTTGTAATCCAGTGAAGTTAAAGTAGTGAGAGTAGGAGCGGAGGACCACTAGCTGATTGACCACTTTTGTGGGGCCCAGCCCTATATATAACCACCTACCAGGGCTCGCACTCTTGCACCTAGACCAGGCATCTTTTACCCCAATACAACCACTGCTTTTCAGTAGCCATGGGGTGTGAGTGTGTGGAGTTTGTCTAGTCTTGGGGGTTGGTTTCCGTCGATGTGATGTCGAGAGATCCTGTGGGTATTGGCAGATGGGAAGATCATTCCTTCTTACGGGTCAGCGAGATGAATTTAAGTCAATTTACTTGTTTTCATGTTCCTCTCTTGCAGCAGAATGAGAATGCTATACCGATGATTCAAGGACCGTACAAGGTGTCCGACCGGCTGCTCCATTGTGCTTCCAAGTCTCCAATTTCTCGACCACTGTGTTCCGACCATTGCCGCACCGCAATTTCCCAGCGGTTAGCCTCATTCTTTCGCCCAATCCCGGCGGGACCAAAGAATTCGTGTATATTGCCAACGAAAGAAAACTTCCTAATATTAGTAGATCTTGAGTTCCTGGCCCGGGGATCCTCAGGTTCCAACTCGCGGAATACCTGGGCTTTAATTATGGTTTTCTGTATAAGAGCAACATCGACACGGTCCAGATATGCGTTAGTTAGAGCGTGGAACCCATGTACTATAAGTCGAATCAGGATGGCAGTCTCGGGGATATCTGTTGCCGTGCTTAAACGGATTACCTGGTCATTAACGCTTATACTCTGTAAAATGCGTCGTTCGAGCGTCTTGTAGTGTTGCTGAAGCGGGTCGAATAACCGAAATCCGAGATGTTGCAAACCACCTTTTTCCAAAGAGCCCTCCCATTTTAGCAGCCCCCAAAAGCCGAAGAATAGGCAATGGTCGCTTATTGTCTTCATATTCAGCTCAGAGGTCATTCCCGGGGCGGGGGAGAGGTTAAAAACGCCACTAAGTATGGTGATGAGAGAGGTTATGGCGGCGATCTCGTCCGTTAGGCGGAAGAAGTAGGTGTCCTTGGAGAAATTATTCCAGATCCGTGGCGAATACAAAAACTCCTTGACTGTGAAGTGGGCAAGAGATATGGTTTTTGTGTGTTCACGTGATATGGTGACAAGGCATCCGCAGGTATCCTTTAGGTTCTCGGCATTCCAAAGGGGAGGCAACCCCACACCTAGATTGTTCGTGTCGCCGTTCCAGGTCTCGAACAGTAGTTGCAGAAATATGTGAGCCGAGATTTCCCCCTTGTCCGGGTGTCCGCACAGTAAAGCTAGTGCTCTTTGCACCACGGGACGCTCTTGGGCCGATATGGCTGCGAATATTCGTTCGTATGTCTCGTCCAAGGTTTCCGGTAGGTCTTGTAAAGCGGCCCTGACCGCGCCCGCTGTCGCCAGCCGTCGGAGAATGTCCATTTGACAAACCGCCCAGCGAAACCTGCAGAAAGGGGTTAGAAGATGGATCAAGGAAGGAGGTGGAGCTTTGGGTGGGTAGGTCAGGCAAAGTGGTAAGTATGGAAGCACTTACATGCCCCGAGCCCCCTGAGATACAGCACCCTCAATCTCGGTTATGAGTTCTGCTGGCCAGCTGGAAAACCGACGGTCCCGCTGAAGATCCGTTTGTATGTAGGAGCGCACAAAGAACCGAATATCCTCCTGAACTTTCTCGGACTCCATCTCTGCAGATACTGAGCAATGCGAAAGGGCCAACTGGATGTCGTGGTACTCGCGGCTTGTCGCCAGAAGACGGACGTTTTTGAACCGCTCATCCGTCGCTATGGTGACCAGCAAATCAAGCAGCGAGTTTCGAGGCGTTGTGCTTTCGTCTACTGCGTCGATCACCACGTAGACGACCGAGAACATGGCAACAGTTTCGGCCAAGCTGCCCACGAGCTGCGACACACTGGGTTGAAGGCCGCTTTGGAACATGGAGACGAGGGAAGAAGGAATGGCACCAGCCTGTCTGCACAGCTGGCTGATGACCCACTTGAGAAACGGCGCGGTCTCGTCTTGTTGATGGCCAAAATAACAGTAGTAATATGCAGTCCCGGAGGCAAGGGACTGGCTGGTGGACTGGTGTTTCGGTATGTTCTCGATCAGCGTCGATGCGAGCACGGTCTTGCCCGCTCCCGGGATGCCGTGGATCCAGAGCAGTCGGCTCTGGCCTGCGCCGGCCAGCCAGTCTTGCCACTTTTGGGAGGTGAGCATCCAGAATCCCGTGTCTTGTTGGCGGAGGCTGCAAGACTTGTTGTGCAGCTCGGAAGGGTTTGTCACTTCTAACCATTGATGGATCGATTGGCGCCGCGCATCTAATCCAGGAAATCAGTTAGCTACATCACATTATTCTACGGACTGAGGGTGACAAGAGTGTACTAAGAATAAAATGTGCACAACAAACGCTCATGAAAAGGAATCAGCTTACCTGACAACATGGTTTCAATCCCCAAAGTCGTTTTCTTGACGTCTTTTATATCTTGCCTAAAACATTCACCACGATATCAGCGGATCATGTTCCAAAATTCGCCGCATTGAAACGAAGGGAGATGTGAAATGTGGCACACACCGTGTTTCCACCGAAAGAGCAATGGTGATGGTGCTCTTGTGCTGGCTAATCTCATCCAGCAGCTTCTTGGCCTTGCTGGCCTTGAGCGGCCAAGCAAGCGCCGTCACGATCTGGGACACATGCAGTCGCTTTCGCTTCTTCTTGACTGCCAGCTGCTGGATATGATCTTCGGGGAACAGCTTCTCGAGCTCACCCAGGGCGAGCCCGCATGCGCCCAATGTCCCATCAGGGCCACCGAGATTACGGATCGTGGAGGACGAAGCGGCTCCCGCATTGGCGTCTGCGGTCGCCAGGAAGCGGAGGTTGTCGAGGATGGACTTTAACGAGGAGACTTCGATCAGGATGACTCGAATGTCGTGCGGCACATCGCGGACGCTTTCGATGTAGAACTTGCACAGTCCGATCACGCGATCTGCCAGCTGGATAAAAGCGACCGCGCTTGCTCCAAGCGCGAGAGCCTCGGCCATTTGTGAGGGTCTTGCTTGGCTTGTGATATCAGTGCGTGGAGAGAAAGTGCCTGGAGTTTTCTTGGGCGTTCAAGTTGGGTGATGAAATGCAGTGAGAACGAGGAGATCGAGAGATTTTTTCCACCATGAGCTTGGGGCCTGATGCCGACTTGCGGTCAGAACCCAACTGAGCCTCGCTGTTGTCGCGCTCAGCCCCGTGGGGTGCCTTGGGCTCAGCCCTTCCACGCCCGGTCGGCGGCATCTCACCCGCGCTGATTGGCGTCCCTTTTTGCCACCTCATCCACGAGTTACGAGGGACACGAGTGATAACCTGATAATACACTGAGAATGATATCAATTTCTTCCGGATAATATCCCTTATTATCGATCTCCTCCCGAATCATCAACGGGGCTCATCGTGCGGATCGATATCGAGACTCCTCCCAAGCACACTGCAGGGGTTGTGGGTACATGGACCCTAAAAGTATGGCTGAGTTACATTAAATCAGTTAGGGCGTGTGGCTCAGTTGGTAGAGCGTTCGCTTAGCAAGTCTTTGACCTGCGAAAGGTCCTGGGTTCGATTCCCAGCCCGTCCACATCCTTTTTGCTCCATTTTTGCTCTCCCCAAATAGGCTCGTATAATTATTTTCTTTTTCATTGCTTTCAAGAATCCGCGACCGGAGGAGGTGCGCTGAGCTTAAAGTATAACGGCTTAGTAGACCAGCATTGATCACCGAGACAAGCTTGACATTTCTCGAGTCTGAATGAGCCAATAGGATAAATTTTCTTGATCTACGAACCGCTTTAAATTCCCAGATTTTGATGGAGAAACGTCTGATCAGCAAATTTCTCTCGCAAGTCTAAGTTGAGGTACTCATTGATCGCTCTTAATTAATCCGTCGTCTCCGTCAGCCCCAACTGAGCCCTACCCGATGAACAACTGGAAGCACAGCGCCTCATCTCGCAACCCAATACCCGCCATTCCCATGCACCTGATCCCGCGCCTCACCACTCGCCGTGCGGATGCCCACCAAGTGCACGGGGAAGCTCTCGACCTGCTGCTGCACCCTATCCCTCGCCCCTCCATACCTCTCCGCCAGGCTCCTCGCGCTCTTGGACGTCTTGAGCCTGCTAACCGCCACCTCGGGGCCCCAGTTCTCCCTGCTCAGACTCGAGTACGCGACAATCACGTCCCTGGAGACCGCGTCCAGCCTCTCCTGCTGCGATACTGCCGTCTCGGGGTTCTGCCCCGGCCGCAAGAAACCCATAACAATGACCTTAACCCTGGCGTCATAGAAGGTCGTCTCGTGTCCAAAGTCGTGGAAGAGGTGCGCCGTCACGACCGTCTCGGGGACAACTGTCGGTTTGGCGTAGGGTGATGGCCCGACGGTGATGATGGCCTCGTGCCACGCGGCCGAGATGTGCTCGAACCCGCGCTCGGGCAGCACGCAGCTCCAGCCGAAATACACCCCCCGCAGACTGTGCTTGACGTCCTCAGGCACATTGACCAAACTGGCCGTCGGCAGCCCCATCTCCGCGGCACTTTTTCCAGTCCCTTTGACAACCCGTCCCTGGAACTTGACAGGAAACGGCGCCACAGGGCCCTCGTCCCCGCCAATAACCTCCAACCCCCTTTCCACCTCCCCATTCTCCCCCTCCCCATTCTTATCCTGTATCCCACCACTGGGACCGCTCCCCAACCGCGAAAGAACCCTCCTCCCCGCCTCCGTCGCCACAAACCCCGGCTTGACCCTCTGCACCTGGCCCTGGACAACCCCGACAACAGGCCCGGCATACCGATTCACCACCGTGCTCGCAAACACCGACGCCACTTTCACCCCGACCTCAAGCGGCATGGTCGCCAACGATGCGCCGCGAAACACGCTCGCGTCCGCCGCGGTGCTGGCGATGCGAAACACGGGGCTCGGGCAAAGCACCTTCCTCCCTCCCTTCCCATCTCCGCCGGCACATAGCACAACCCGGAAATACCCATCCGTCGACGCCTCAGGGATGCGAATTACATGCGTCTCCCGTACCACCAATCTCCGAGTCGGATCCCGCTTAAGCACACGGGCGATATCCCTAACCCACCGACGCTCCATCTCTGGATCTAGTTCCGACGGGTGGGAGATCTGTGTGGTGGGCGTGACATCAAGCCAGGTCGATGTAGCACCGAGGGCAGCTTTGAGTTTCATACCGCTGTCGCCTGAGAAGCCGCGCTGTTGCAGCCAGAGGGTGCGGGAGGACGGGAGCGGGTGGGAGGTGGCGCTGAGGAGGGTGAGGGTTACTGAGGTTGAGGGGCCGCGGTAGAAGATTAGAGGCGGGGAATGGCGGAGGATGGTGTAGTCTTTTGTTGACTCGGTTGCGAGGGGGAGGAGGGAGGTGGCTAGGTCGCGGGTTGAGGTTAGGGCTGTTGTCCAGATGGATTTGTTGTTGTTGTTGTTATTGTAGTTGTTAGTTTCAGAAGAGGAGGAGGAAGTGGTGGTGGGGAGTGTGGGATGGGGGCGAAGGGGGAGGGCGGGTTTCAAGTCATGGTTTGCGAGGGTTGGGGATGGGTAGGGGAATGGGAGGGTGGCGGCGCTGGAGGGGGTGAGTGGGCTGCTGGTGTGGTGGGATAAGAGGTTTGGGAGGCTGGTCATTACACGCAGGCGGTTGAAGGTTGGTGGATGGAGGGACCCGAGGTGTGAGGGGGAGTTGTCATGGTGGTAGGGAGCTTCGTGTTGGTCGCCGCGTGAGACGGGCCGCTCCCAGTGGTTTGGCCCGTCCATGTCTTTGAAAGTTTCTCTCTGGTGGTGGTGATGGTCATGTGGATTCCACCCCGGTGCCGGACCTGGGTAATACGGCCGTGGATGCGATTGCGGCGCGTCCTGGTTGCGTGAGACCGGGCGTTGCCAATTGTGATTCGGATCGTTGTACTCGTCCCGCTCGTGAGGATGGTGCTGGTTACTTGGGTTATATGCTTGGTACTGGTGTGGGTGAGATTGCTGGCCGGCGTTTTGGTTGCGGGAAACGGGTCGATTCCAGTCTGGGGTTTGAGAAAACTGCGGGTCGTGGTGGTTGTGACTTGCGTTGCTGGAATTCCACGCCGATGTAGTCGCGAATGGCCTCATGTTTTCAGATTGCGGCGCGTCGTGGTACCCATGTCGATTGCGCGACACCGGCCGCTCCCAGCTGTCGGGTGTAAATTCCCCCCTGCTGTTGAAATTGTAAACTGGATCTGTTGTCGCGTACGATCTCATCTCGGGCCGTGTTGGCTGGGATGATTCGGCGAGGAGAGAATAAGGGGGCGGCGGTGGCGACGTTGATTCCATGCCCGAGTCCGCTCGTGCCGTGGCAGGCCTGGGCGTGGCCACCTGCTTCCGCCTGAACTCGGGGGAGGTTGGCTGGGACATTATTTTGAGAAGATACCGATTCCTTCCCGATACCTCATAACTGCAGGGTCTGTGTCGTGGATGATCGGTGGCGATATCGAGCGTCGGACAGTCGCGGTTGTCTCAGAAGCGACGCGTGTTTTCTTTCAGAAGCGAATTAGCGGCTGATTCAGCCCCTGAATCACCAAACAAAGACTGCTGTCCAAGGTCAGGGTTAGGGTATGATTTGGGGGCAGAAACACAAAAGGATTTTTAGACTTTAGATCATTATCAGTATGCAGATGTTGATAAATTCTCCTTGCACGATCCTTATAAGACGGGACTGAATTTCCGTCACACAAGAGACCAGTGAGTTCCTCTCTTGGGTGCGGAGCTGTTAAATGAAAGGGGATCTTGCGTAGGTATGCAATCTGTGCTGGACTTGGCATATCAGTTTTCAAGTTGGCAAACAAACAAAGCTCGGAATCACATTCAGAAAACTAATTGTTGAACAAGCGGTCATCAGCACCAATGATGATTCAATTGAATGGTCAGAGCAACGGAGTGCTATACTCCACGCTGCCACACAAAATAATACCCAATAAATGATTAAGGTAGAGTAAAGCCCCCTTTTCCAAAACACGCTCTCGATCCAAAAAAAACAGCAAAGTGAGCGCAGGACATGTAGGGGGTGGGTGCCAGAGTCAGGACAAAAAAAAAAACGACACTCTCTAAAGCTCCATGTCGTAGTACTGGCTCCACTCCTGCGCCGAGCCATCATAAAAGACAACGTTCTCGAATCCAAGGATGCGCGTCAGCACAAAGTACCAGCTGGAGGCATAGCCGCCGACGCCGCAGTAGACAATGATCTGGCCGTAGGTGCGGCCGACGTTGAAGCCGACGACGCTGCGGACGAGGGCCAGCAGCTGCAGGGGGTTCTTGAAGCTGCCGTCCGAGTTCCAGATCTTGACGGCGGGCAGCGACACGGCCGAGGGGATGTGGCCGGGCTTGAGGGCCCACGACTCCATGACGGACCCGTTGTAGACGCTGGTGTCGCGCCCGTCGATCAGGTAGATGCCCTCGGACTTGCGGTTGATGTTGGCGGCCACGTAGGAGATGTTGACCAGGAAGCTGCGGTCCTCGGTCGAGGTGAAGGTGCGCGGGACGACGGTGGGGACGACGGTGGTGGTGTCGAACTCGGCCGCCCAGGCAGGGAAGCCGCCGTCGAGGATGGCGACGCGGCCGTCAGAGATGCCGGCGGTCTTGAGCGTGGTGGCCACGCGGGGCGAGGCGGCCTGGGAGAAGGCGCCGACGGCATCGACGCCGTTGACCAGCACGATCTTGGTGGCCGGGTTGGGGTTGCTCACGCCCAGGGAGGTGAGGGTGGCGAACAGGTCCGGCGCGGCCGGGATGTTGAGAATCAGGTTCTCGTTGCCGGCGGAGGACCAGGCTGACACGGGCGTGAAGGGCGCGCTAACACTGCCGGGGATGTGCGCCGTGGCATAGTCGGCGCCGTCGCGCAGGTCGATGACGACCAGGTCGACAAAGTCCTTGCACTTGTTCACCCACCACGGGCTGACCACGTCGGTGAAGACCAGGCACACCAGCGGGGTGATGGTCCGGGGAGCCACCTCGCGGGGGGTGGCGGCGGCAGCGACGGCCGGGAGGAAGCCGGCGAGCGCCGGGGCGAGCAGGGCGAGGGAGCCGAGCATCGTGCTGGTTGGGTGGTTGGGGATGGGGAGGTGGCGGGGAGGGGCAATTAAAAGCCGGACGGGGGAAAAAGGTGGTGGGTGGGTAAGGAGAGGAGAAGGAACGGGAAGGAAGAGAGGCGCGTCCATGCAAGCGATATTTATTCACTCTTCCGTCCCGGTCGGAGGTTATGGGGTCATTCCCACGTGGCCGATGCCCACGCCCTCACGGCCGCCAAGTGCCGGGAGAGGAGCAGCGTCACATCGGCAGCGCGGGGAAATCACCGAGGGAATCACGACAGCGTCATGCAGGAGCAGCGGTGGAAAGCCGATAGTGCGCGCCTGGCGCTGTTGGTAGCACGTAGTATTCTGGCCCTCTCACCCCCGGCAACGTTCCTGGAATTACGGGTCCCCGGTTCCTTCCCAGCATCATCAAAACGGCCGGGATCCTCACCCCTCGAGTCAAACAAACAAAGACTAGTCAGTTGATAGTTCGCCTGTGCTATCTTTCTAGAATCTTGTCTAGCTCTTGTTTCGAGAACTCGGCAGCAATCAATA